GGGGGGCTGGGGCACCCCGGGAGCGGCGGCGGCAGCAGAGGCGGCCGTGGCAGCGGAAGGTTCTCTCACCAGGGCTGGACTTAATAACTTTGGAACTGTCCACCAGTGTCACGTCCCGAACATGAGCCTCCTCCTCTCCTTCTACCTGCTCGGGTTGCTTGTCAGTAGCGGGCAAGGTAGGAGTGTGGTGCTTTATTACCTTACTTTCCCTCCCCCTTCCACTCTGCCAGGAGGGGCGACGAGGGAGGCACGGGAAGAATGAAATGAAAGAACTAAAGTTACAGTTATTGTTGCTGTTATTATTTGTATTTTCGCTCGGTCTTGTAGCTGCCCCTCACATTGTATCTGTGTTGTGGAGACCCTTAAATAAGAGAAGAGAAAACGCAGAATTGGAGATGGGCACCGGTGACCTGGAGATTGAGGCAAACTGCTTCATTTTCTGGGAATTTGGCTTTTTTTTTTTCCTGATTTTCATTATCAAAAATTGGATGAGTATGTTGGTGTGTGTTAACAAATATCCGAGGTTGCGGAAGGAAAGGGCATGGTGGTGTTTCACAGAAGCAGCAAAAACTATCAGCATTAAACTCATTTGTAAAACATCTCTGTTGTGTGCAAGAAATTCAATTCTTAGAGACTCTTTTTTTTTTTTTTTCTCCTTTCCCAAGACCCCAGTTCCTGGCTGTGAAGTGAACGATGATGGCTTATTTCTGTTGGAAACTAAGAGCGGGGGCCATAGATGTGTGTAAGAAAGCGAATGGATAAAACTAGGGATTGTTGCAGTCATTCATTTTGACACCCCCCTCGTTAATACAGCAAGGTTGAAAATGTTTAAAACATTGAAATGTAATTATACCTGTGAGGTATTTTGGATTGTGGAGAACTGGTGAGAGCTTTTATCTCTTTAAAAAAATATGTATAGCCTAGGAGAATAACCTGAGAGAGAATGTGGAAGCGATGTCTGTCTGCATAGGGGTAGATACAAATTTATATTGCCTTTTTAGATATGTTACAGTCACATAAATGTATTTGTGATAAATGGAAGCATTTTCAACTGTCCACATAAGTTTGGACATTTAATTGGAGGCAAAAATTGGTAAAACATGCATTGGTGGATAAGTCTTGAAAGGAAAGGAAAATAGCAGTAATTTGTGATATGTAAAAAATTGCAAGGAATGTTATAAGTGCAGCACAAATTTTTTTTGGAGGAAATGATAAATTACAAGACAAGTTAAAATATCCCTGCTATGTTTGACTCTAAGCATTTTTAATCCTATTCTGCGTTGCTCATGTGGTCCAGCAGGGGGTGGTAGAACTCCACTTTAAGCCCAGAAATGGTGGTTTCTCTCTTCCACACAGTCCTTCTATCATTCTTCAGCAGGGCTTGACATTTGGGATGTGAAGCCTTCCTTTCTCTGCCCTTCTCCTCCCCAAAGCTATAGTGTTAGTGGTTGATGAAACATGATTGGATGCAGATTTTATGTTCAGACATCTGAATGCAAATCCTGGATGTTGCTTATAGTTTGTAAAGTGTCTGAGTAAGATGTTCATTTTCCCTTCCTAACAGAGTAGGCAATATTTCAGTCAGGAAAATTGCAGATATGTTCATCAGAAGCTGAGATGAGACCAATCCGTTCATTCAGTTGTTGTTGTAACACAAATCAACATACAACTATGTCCCCACATACCACTCTGTCCTACTTGAATTTTTGAAGAGCTGCTGACTGTGCTCAACTGTTCATTTATAACACAGACAGGTATTTCTGAATACTGAATAACCAGTCCCCTGAAAATTGTAGTTAAAATACAACTGCAATCAAAGAAGTAAGGATAGATGAGGTGGAGAAAATGGGTGCATGGCGGGAAGAGGTCATATGCACACTTCAGATTACATTGGAGAAGAAAAACATGTCTCAATTGTCGTGGGTCTATCATTGCAGAGACTAATTGTATTGGAATTTGGGGATATAAGGGCCATGTAGGAAAATTTGAATACCTAGGTTTGAATTGTGCACACAGATGTACATCATCTGGGTCTGTATATGTAACGCATATCTGAAATTGTGATTCAGCTCATTAATCATTCAAAATACAAGGGGGTGAAGAGGGATTCTGAGACTGAAGTGTGCCTGAAGGGGAGCCCACATTCACGGGAATGAGACAAGGTGGAGGGAGAGCACCCTTGAAAAGATCTCCCTATCTAGTACCGTTTCAAAATGCACGGCACTCATGGAGGCATAGATGCATATCAGAGGAGCCTAGCGTTTGTGAAAAGAAACATGTAGCACTTCTGCGCTGTGTATCTTAATGAAGTCCACGATACTGGAAATTGAAATCTTCATCCTGGAGTCCGAGTCCTCTACGCTAGTATGTTGTTCTCTAATTAAGGATGCAGCAGCAAGGATCAGACACACCACTGGGAGCTGTTTAAAAAAAAAAAAAAGGACCTTGTGTAACTCATAATTTTGTTTATTCTTTTGTAAACGGGGCCATGGAAAAGCTGCCAGTCAGTGATCCCTAGGCTTGCCTTAGAAATACTAAAATCCCAGCTTGCTGATTTATGTTTCCAACAATATACTTGCAGGAGATTTTATGAAGCATGATTGAAGCTATTGCTTTGGAAAGTGGTGGCAGTTAGGCTGGGGAAAGGCGACGGTGATGTATTCTCTTTTAAGTAGTCAAAACGTTTGGAACTGCAGCAGTGAATGGGAGAAAAGAACACAAGTGAAAAGCCGACTAGACTAACTTAAGTGGATGCCAATACCATCATTAGCTAACGAGGCCTAATAGTTCTCCTAACTTTCAACACATTATTGTTCTAATGTACTGAGAGTCTTTTATTATTATTATTATTATTATTATTATTATTATAGAAATATCCCTACAGCTTTAAAGGCCTCTCATTTCCACTGCAAGATTGATATCTGATGAAGTTAAGGCTGGAATTTATTGGTCAGGTCTGAATTTAATTGTCAGTGAAGGAATATGCTATAATTGCGAAACTTTTGCAATTATTTTTTCCCTTTGTATTCAAAACTCGTTCCTATCATGAATCTCAAGTGATAACTGAAGTCTCTGATTAACAGTGCATTTACTATTGGGATCTTCGTAAATTCGGGTTCCTAAACTGTAGTACACATGGGTAAATTTCTTTCTTTTTCTTCTTTTAATTTTAAGATTACCATCTTCCTCTTTTAAAAATTACCCATGTGTGATCAAAAAAACATCTATTACTGGATGTTGACATACATAAAATGAAAGCACAGTTGTATCAAACCCTAAACTAAGCACCGTGCTATTCATTTCTCTTGCAATCCAGTTCAGCCATGTATAGTGAGAACACTTACCTAAGCCAAAATCATGGGGCGAGAAGAGGGTAATTTGCCCAGTTAATTAGTTAAACCCGGCATCTGCTTACAGTTACTCTTTCGGGTAAAGCACTAGTAAGTCATTGTTCACTGGAGAAGTGAGCCTTTCTACAAATAGAGCACAGGTGTGTGGGTCTGCTCCTTTCAGGTCTACAGGCGAGATGGCCACACACCCATCTCTGTCTAGGCTGTCAAAAGAGTTACTGCCACTCCTCTTTCTCTTTTCTAGATACCCCATTCTAAATCTTTGATCCCAGACTCTTTGTGCAAGTTTTTATTTTTTTTTGAACCAACTGCATATTCATTTGCACTTAGAGGAGATGGACTATATAAATTAATATCTTTATTGTCAATGAGTAACCCAGAGGATTTTCTTCTCTGTTTCATGTCAAAGGAACCAAGCATGATTTTTTTTTTTCACTTTAGTTTCTAATGCTGAATCAGAGGCCACAGAACAAGAAGGGAAGTTGTTGGGTCCCCAGTGTGGGATAAGTCTTTTGAATGACACAGGGGGCTAATGTTCTCCCAGAGGTAATGTCCTACTACAGATGCAATTAATGGAACAAAAGAACCTCATTCCGTGTGAGGAGAAAGTCAAACTTCATGTAATTTGGTAAACCGTATGCCCTTCTTTCCAAAATAGAGCGAGTTTATAACGGAACTGAGAGCTGAGCTACAGAGATGGAGACGAGTAACCAAGCTGAAGAGTGAAATTTGTTTTTGCCTGTTTTCTTGCCATGGGAACAGTGAGGATAGAAACAGTATCGACAATCTGAAGGATCTGGAACTCGTCCTGCTGCTTTGTCTGGCTTTCGACATTTGGGAAAACATTTTAACTTTTCTGTTTTCAGGGTCACCTCTCTTAGAAATCAACTTTTGAGAGCATGAAGAAAAGTGCCCCATAAGGGGTAGAATGAGCCTGAATTGCTTTTGTTTGATCTTAAATAAAATGAATCCTCTGGGTGTTAGTATATGCAAAATTAATTCCAAAATTTTAATATGCTTATAAAGGGAAGATCATTGTTTTTTTTCCCCCTTTTATTGACTAAATTCTAAATTAGTGTGCCTTTTATAGTATCCCAGTTATATTGACGCTAGGCCTATTTAAAAGATACAAACTAGGTGGAATTTTCTAAATTTTATGATATGAAAATCCTTTAAGATACAATGTGTTTTTATGCTTTTATTAAATATAATATCCCAGGACTTCATAAAGCCAAGCTTTATTTAATCGTTCAGCAAATAAAAGTACTTTTCTATGGCACCCTTTTAAGTATTTTAATAACTTTTAATGATTTATAATTATAACAATAGTGAAATCCCAAAGAGCTGTGAATATATTTCCTAGATTCACATGTTCATTATTGCTACAAACAATTCATCAAACATTAGAAGACATTTTAGGGAATGACGATATAACAAAATAGAATTTTAATACATTTAAATAATAATGAAGGTGGAGAATTTTAAGAATATTTGTAAGCATAGCAGTTGAAAGGCGAGAATTGAAAAATTTCAGATCAATTGATCAGTATTTTCTTTACTCCACCTTAACTTTATTCAAATTAACAAGGAAAGGAACGGAGCACTGGACTGGAATCAGAAGACCTACATGACTAAGTTTCTTGACCTTGCTGAGGAAAATTAAACTCTTTGAAGCACGATTTGCTTATTCAAAATTGTGATATAAAAATATCCGGCTAGTTGACCTTGGTCCTCAGTCATGACAGGCAACAATTGTGATACTACATATATCTTACACAGCTAGTAAGCAGTTCACACTAGATGCCAGTTTATTTTTTTTTTAATAA